AAAATGCACTTGATTGGAATTAATGTAGTGTATAGCATTCAAAGGTAGCTAGAATAAATGTTTATGGACCCATAATAGTGATTATTATTTAAGTTAAGTTTTGCCATAATCATGTCTTTTTCCATATCAGGCAGCTGAACTAACAATTGGTAAAAAATGTATACATTATATATATATTTCTATTAATCATTTTCGGCCTTTCGGCATTCGGTTTTCGGCCAACTGTTTCCTATTTTCGGTATCGGTTTCGGCCAAGAATATCCCATTCGGTGCACCCCTAGTTACAACCGACCTTTTGAGTGCAACCATAATGCTAATGTGGCCCGCAATTACATTTAGTTTGACACCCCTGTCCTAGAGGAACGCACTTCCCACTACTCATTAAATGATTCATATGTGCAATATCAATATCTGATTCTGTGCAATAGTATCCTTTGCATTTCATCATGTCTTCATCATGAGCCTGAGTCTTCATCAACTCTTCATCATGAGCCTGAGTCTTCATCAACTCTTCATCATGTCTTCATCATGAGCCTGAGTCTTCATCAAGTCTTCATCATGAGCCTGAGTCTTCATCATGAGCCTGAGTCTTCACCATGTCTTCATCATGACTGAGTCTTCATCAACTCTTCATCATGAGCCTGAGTCTTCATCATGTCTTCATCATGAGCCTGAGTCTTCATCATGAGCCTGAGTCTTCATCATGTCTTCATCATGAGCCTGAGTCTTCATCATGTCTTCATCATGAGCCTGAGTCTTCATCATGTCTTCATCATGAGCCTGAGTCTTCATCATGTCTTCATCATGAGCCTGAGTCTTCATCATGAGGCTGAGTCTTCATCATGAGCCTGGGTCTTCATCATGTCTTCATCATGAGCCTGAGTCTTCACCATGTCTTCATCATGAGCCTGAGTCTTCATCATGTCTTCATCATGAGCCTGAGTCTTCATCATGTCTTCATCATGAGCCTGAGTCTTCATCATGTCTTCACCATGAGCCTGAGTCTTCATCATGTCTTCATCACGAGCCAGGGTCTTCATCATGAGCCTGAGTCTTCATCAAGTCTTCATCATGAGCCTGAGTCTTCACCATGAGCCTTCACCATGTCTTCACCATGAGCCTGAGTCTTCATCATGAGTCTGAGTCTTCATCATGTCTTCACAATGAGTCTACAGAGGGTCTCTGTGCTGTGGAGGACGTCCTGCCTCTTCATGTCTGGTTGAAAGACTCTGCCCCTGCATTTCCTGCCTTTTCATTCATCAAAGACTTTCCTGCAGCATCAATACAGGTCAATTGTTTCTTAACATTTAGTAGGGTAAGAAGATTAAACTAAAACAACTTGGCAGTGTGTTTTCTGTTTACTGGTTCAAGAATTGATCTGTAGCTATCTGATCAGTAGTAAACCTATCATGGTTGTGTTGTGGTCAGGTTACCGTCCATCTGCACCAGCAGCTCCGCCTTCACTCTGCGGCTGGCCTCGTGTTCCTCTGAGGTTCCTCTGCGGCTGCACATGGAGTCAATCTCATCGATGAAGATCGTAGTGGGAGCGTAGAAACGTGCCTGATCAACAACACAATACATGATCAGTCAAGAAAATATTAAAAGTATCACAGTCACAACTAGTTACAATAACTGGAGAGAACAGATCCCCTGTCAGGTCTACACACATTGTCTCAGACAAACTCATCTCTCTTCATCATTCAGTATATTCCATGTTGGGTAACCAAGTGTTCTTTAATTATTTTCTTGTATTTTTTTCATTTATACTGCTTGTTTTCTTGTATGTGCCATTAAGGCTAACGTATTTTAACTGTAATTATCACTATAGATGCTGTGGGTTTTACAGGAATGGTGACACTGCCAACACTCACACCTTCAAAGAATGGGAAAAGAGAAAGAGTCTTTGTTGTGCTGGGCACACTACCTGTGAAGGGTGAAAATCAAAGGGATGTTGCTCTAGAAAAACGTGACTTGGTGTACAACATCATATGTGAAGTCTTACCATTTCAAAGAGAAGGCGAACCAGCTTCTCAGACTCCCCTCTGTACTTGGAGGTGAGAGTGGATGAGGAGACGTTGAAAAATGTGGTTCTGCACTCTGTAGCAACAGCTTTAGCCAAAAGCGTTTTCCCCGTGCCAGGAGGTCCCACCATAAGCACTCCCTTTGGTCAAATATAAAAAGGTTCTGTGCATGATACTGATAATAGATTACAGAAAAAACACAACTGGAATGTCTTTAAATCTGCACCTTCCATGGTCTTCGTATGCCTTTGAAAAAAGCTGGCATCCACATCGGCAACACGACCGCTTCTTTCAAAAGTTTCTTTGCATCTTCTAAGTCTGCAATGTTGTCCCTAAGAAAGAAATGAGACAGTTTAAAGTGGGGGGGAACTCAGTGATATAGAATTTTCAATATGGAATCTTTAGTTTTGTATCTGGTCATGTTAGCTGTTGGCTCTCCTCCCCTGTCTCCTGCAGGCAAACTGCTTTGGAGCTTTAGCATTCTTTCCTCACAGCTGTGTATTGCTATGACTAATAGTTGATTCGGCTTGCCCAAAACAATCTCTTCTTTAGATAATAACAGGACCAAGCTGACGCACAGTGTTTTAGAGCAGTATGGACATCCGGATTCCATCTGATCAGGGGGATAGCTCTCTGCCAGCTGCTAGGAGCCGAGTTAACCCTAACCCTGTGTTCTCCTTGCTCCAAAGTTTCATCGCACACTACCTGCTTAAGAGGCTGCTACTTGAAATATGTGTTTCACATATGGTATATTTCTCTTATGGACGCACAAAAACAATACAGTGAAATACAAACAGCAGTGCTGAACAATATGAGGCTAAAAGTATCAAACTGTGATCTGTAAGGCAATAATGACCAGCTGCTCTAGCTAGCAGTATGATAGAGTGAAGAAGGAGCGGCCAGGTCCCCATTCAGATTCCAATGATGATATAATGATCTTAAAAGTTTGAACTATAATCTTTTTGACAATTGTTAAATCTTCCCGCTGTCATGAATTTCCCAACTGCAGTGTTATGTTAACTAGCTACACGTGAACTGCTTAATACAAATGTATCGTCTTTTAGCTTAAGATATCATTAATAACTTGAGTAAGTTCTAATCAAATCTTAATTGTGTTTAGCGTTTTATTGCGTGGTCAGTGTGTTGCAGATGTGGCAGGCTGTTTGAGTTATTTTGTCATGTAGCTCCATAATTAGAAATAAAAAGAACTCTTGTAAGTTCTGAATGAGAGTTCTCTTAAATCACACAAGTATATACCTACAAGCCCCGCACTCATGATGAACACGTACCACTTCACATTGGGATTCTGAGATATAATATCTCTATCCAGAGATTCCACCAGGTCTTTGTCGTACCCTGTTCCGTCAAACCTCTTCACTTCTTTCTCCTGGACATCAGCTTTGTTCTGGGAGGCACACAAAACTATTTTACTCTTTCTTACTCTGTACTCTGAATGTTAGCCATTGAGTCTGCTTTCTTCCAGACAAGAAACTGGAATTTCTACCTGGAAATAGGCAAACAAGCAGCATGTGGATACTGTGCGATCCACAAAGCAAATATTGAGAACAAGTTAAGCAGTGTAATGAAGAAGAAGGTGCCGTGTGCACCTTATCATCCTTTGCTCTGCCCTCTTTCACCTCCTTCACCTCCTTCCTTTCTTTGCCCTTGGAAGGTTTGCTTTTGTCCCCGTTGGCCCCGCGGGGGGAGTGCCTCTGCTGGGCCCTCACTGCCACACTCAGCCTGTTGTTGGGGGCTTTACTTTCTTTATTTGCATTACCTGGCCGCCTCACAGGACATGGAGAATGTCTGTGGACAGAGAAGAAGAGGTAGCTATAAACAAAAACATTAGCCTTATTGTCCCGAGGCTCAGCAGGAGGACTCATGAAGCCTTTAAAGTGACGGAAAACAGGGATTTACAGGATACCTTTGGGGTAGACCAGGAACAAATCCAGGTCACAACAGAGACTCAAAGGGACTAATCTCAATCACATGACTGCATCAGGAACTAGCTTTAACATTCCCGACCACAAACCTGTACACTGCAAACAGGAAATAGATCTACAGTACCCAAAGCGATATTACTGCCAACAAAGAAAAAATGTACTGAAGCAACGAATAAGAAGGCTGAAAGGTGAGTGTTGGATGTGAATAACGAAGTGCAATACCGCTGTTCCACATGCACAGGCCTTATTTCACTGTCTTCGTGGTTGCTGGGTTTAGCAGGTGTTGTGTCCAGCTGGAAGTTCTCCAGAGTGGACATTATGTCCTGAACTTTTCCATTCTCTTCACTGATTTCTTGCCATAACTGAGATGAAAACACCAATAAAAGTCAGTAAACAGAACAGGCAGGACTTATTTCTGAAAATGTATGTCAAGTTTTTAATACCATGTTACCTGCTGCCATCGCTGCTGATAACTGCTGTCCCGCTTGGTGTACACATACTTCTTGATTTGTTCTAGCAATCCATGATAGAGAACACTGGCCGAGCTGTAGTTTCCCAGCAGGGCGTACTCACGGGCCAGCTTCACGTTCTCATTGATCTCTCGCAGACTCATGGTGCTGCAGGGAAACAGACAAAGCTCATCACGCTTCCCTCCCCCAACATCAGCCTTATATTAAACCTGTGTTTGGTCAAAGATCTGGCCATAGAATAATGGTTATGATACAGGGGTTGCCATTCCATAAATGGTGTAATGTAAGCATATAGATATATTATATTTAAAAGAGTGGGATCTAGTCACAGTCCCAGGCACGTCCAGCACCAGAGCACTAATAAATGTCCAGTCCACTGACTGCCATGAATCCATGCATGTCCACAATAGATACAAAAAATAGTGTTTTGGAAAATCTACATAGTATTTCTAAACATAAGAGAATTCTCAAATCAATTCTTTTTTTTGTAAAACCTCACATGATATTGGCAAAATATTGTGTTTTGGGCAACATTAGGAAGTAGAGGATGTTTAATACAGAAAGTTAAAGGATAAAACCAAAGTAGAGCTGATGTGACCAGGATCACATTTGTATATCACTCAACTGAGATTAAGAAAATGCAGTCTTCTAATTGTCTATCAGGCAGAAATGCTATTCTGAACAGCTGATGAACCTGCCTACATAGAGGAGATAGATAGATGGATAGATAGATAGAGAGATAGATAGAGGAGATAGATAGAGAGAGAGAGAGAGAGAGAGAGAGAGATAGATAGATAGATAGATAGATCGAGGAGATAGATAGATATATAGATAGATAGATAGAGGAGATAGATAGATAGAGGAGATAGAGGAGATAGATAGATAGAGGAGATAGATAGATGGATAGATAGATAGATGGATAGATAGATAGATAGAGGAGATAGATAGATGGATAGATAGATAGATAGATAGAGAGAGAGAGAGAGAGATAAAGGGAGAGATAGATAGATAGAGGAGATAGATAGATAGAGAGATAGAGAGAGAGAGAGATAGATAGAGGGAGAGATAGATAGATAGAAAGATAGAGGAGATAGATAGATAGATAGATAGATAGATAGATAGATAGATAGATAGAGGAGATAGATAGATGGA